ATTGGTGAATGATGAGAGTGTAGAGGTGCAAACCGATCAGTTGAGTCGCCATCAATGACCGCAAAATTTTTTAAGATACCTCAGCCATATACATTCATTGATGTTTTAATAGACATCGTATTTACCTTCCTTTTTTCGCGAGCTTACATTTTCCTCATGTTCACCTCTCTCCTGAAGTTGGCTGTTTTCTTCTAGCTTTTATACCTTTTATTTCTGTTATTGATAGAATAGATCGTGGTCGTGTACGAATATCAAATATAATTGGTCTATGAAGCCATGAAATCATAAAATGAGTTCCTTCTTCAATAACATCTAGCTTAACACCTTGGAAACAATCAAAAATAACAGCTCGATGACCATCATCAACTAGAATATGATTAAATTTAAAGAAAACAAGGTTTTTTTAATTTTTTCATTACTTACCATTATAAAGCATACAATTAATCACACCACCACCAATACCTAAACCAATATCAATTCTTCCTAAAACACAAAATTCTTCTATCGAAATAAAATATTATCTCAATATCTTACCAATATTATTAAATAAACGAGATGAATTTATTAGCAAATAGTTCCAGAAACAAAACGAAACCATATGAAAATTCTTCATATCTCTATCAATAGAAAAAGAAAATGCATCACTATTTAATCTATCTATCTACTACAATAACAAACCAATGTAATAAAATACATAGAAAATGATTAAATAACAATAAACTTTGAAAGCAAAAAAAAATACATGCATACTTTTAAATAAATCGAAATCCACTTGAAAAAATATGAGCACCGTTCAGATATTGTTCACCATTGGGTTTTAATGAATTTGATGTATCACTGTTCTTTGCTACTGCAGCAGCAATGGCTTCGAATGCTGGAACAGTCTATAAAGAAATTATTTATATCATAGGAAAAAAAAATGTTTTTCAATTACTATGATTTGATTTTGTTGGAAAAAATTGTTGTGGAAATGATGCACCATCAACACGAAAATCTTCAAGATTTCTATAGTTTTTTAAAATTTCTTCAAGTTTTGAATTGATGTTTGGTTTTTCTCGAGAATATTTTAAAAATGCCCAGAATTTTTCTAAACCATATAATTGACCTAAATAGAAAAATTATTTTTGTTATTGACACTTTTCTTTTCTTTTTTTGTGTAATCTATTTTATTACCAGCTTCATGATCACAAAGAGTTTCTTGTTGAAAATCTTCAAATACATGTTGATGAAAATGTTTTTCTATGCCATATGTATAAAATCGAAATAGATATTCAACATCATATCTATACATAAATAGTAATATTCAATTCTTTTCTCATTATTTTTCATAAAAACAATTCATTTATATTCCGATAATCAGTTTTAGTATCGTCAACAGCATATTGTTTAAATTCATTGTACATATGACGATTAAAATTTTCACATAAGAAAAATGACTAAAAACGATAGAGTGTATTTATTTCCATTGATTGACCAGGACCAAGTTTAACACGTACTAGAAATTAGATCATTACAGAAAACAAAATGTATTTTATTTGTAAATCAACATAACTTTAGATTATAAATATTTTCTATGAAATAATAAAGTTTGACGATTAGTGAAACTTAGTGTTTTTAATCATTGACGATTATTTTATTGCTTTTCAAATTTATCATGCAGATAAGAATGATAGTATTTATTAAAAAAACTCCATAAAAGAGTAAAATCTTTGTTTTTTTTTCTGAAAATTATAGCGACAGACATATTCTCAATTATCTATTTAAATAAGAATATAAGTCTTTTTAGACTCTGATTTTTACTGGAGAGCAGTTTTCACTGTTGTTTTTAGATATGTTGACTCTTCTTTAGTCACTAAAAGACTCGTTTTTTATACATTCAATGTAACATAATTTCAATCTTTTTTTTACTAGTAGCTTGTTTCTCTCGAAATATTGTAAATATGTACTGAACTAATAATCTTTTTTTTCTCTACAATCAACGTTTTTTTTTTACCATCAAGACATTCTTGTTTATATTTAAGATAAACTTGTTGAATAAAACCATTTTGTTGTAAAAGTGTATGAGATGAATGTTGAACCATAAAAATCATATGAATTTGAATTATTTCCATGCCAATAATGTGAATCATTGTATGATGATGAATGATTGATCATAGAAATCTTGTTGTCGAGTTGTAAATAAGTAAAACTCATTCTATACTAATAATAATTGACATTCAATTGTTTGTATTAGGAACAAAAAATAAGAGAAAATTCGTCAAAAAAAAATGAAGCAACACAAGTTATTTTTTACTATATCCATTTACCTTACTCATATTGAACGATAAGAAAAATGATCTTATTCACTGTAATAAGTAAAGTGAAAGCAAAACGTTTAGAAATGCAGTATTTTTGACTTCTTTTCTTAACGATAATAACTACTATCCATTTCAAAATATACTGTGCTCCGTTGTTTTTTAAATAACTTTTGATAGGAATATTACACAGACCTGCGGTTTTTACCATTTAAAAGAGAAGATCCAAAGCAATCGAAATATATCAAAATTTCATTAGCTAATTGTATCAGTTCTTGGCGAGAATTTTGGAAGGTTTCGGATCATCTCTCTTGAATGGTGAAAGCCGAAGACCTCTATGATGTTCCTATCAAAAGTTATTCAAAAAAAAACAATGGAGCACATTATATTTTGAAATGAGAAGTAGAACAAATCAAAGAATCATTAAAACATGTTTTTTTAAATTGGCATCAGCTGTTTCTAATTTTCGTTGAGCTTTTTCATAATTATCTCTTAGTTCAGTCATTGTTTGACGAACAGTTGACTTATATTAAAAATGAATCAATAAATAAGCAAATACTTGTTTATCTCTAGCTTGTTCAATAATTTTTTAAAATTGTTCAAGCCATCCTTGTCATTTTGAATCAATAAAGTCATGTATTTGAATTAAATCATCAACTGTTTGATTTAAAATCGATAAAGTACCATTTGTTCTATATGGAGAACGATAACAACGTGCAACATCAATCAAACGAAATTCTTTCAATGATTTTGATACATCCTTATCAATACTTTTATTTAACTTACAAAATCTTTATTTATTTTCCAAAGATCAGACAATACTTTACAAAAATTTGGAATATAACGAACTCGATTGTATTAATCAGGTACATCATCACTTCTATATTGATAAATATAAAAAAAAAAATATTTTCATTTTTTATTTTCGAATTTCTTTGTTTAACCATATCGATAAACATCCTATTCGAATAAATTTATTTTCAAAACGTTTTTTATAAGGATCGATTAAATTTATTTCCTTAGAAATTTTTAATCGATAATTCGAACTATTTTATCATTATTTCATCTTATAGAACGTTTCTATCTAGCAGTTAAAAACAGATTTTCGATAAAACACATTCGAATCAGATGAAATATTAATCATTTGTTAGCGATCGTTCAGTGGAGAGAAATAAATTGTGTCAAAACTGTTCAGGTCAATATAATGTTTCTAGAATAGATTATTAAAATAATAAATAATCTTCGCTGTCAATCTTTATATATAATAAGATAATCAATATAGATTCATCTAGAAATCGATTTATATAATAAATAACAAATTTTGGGCCAAATGCAAGGAGATAGTTAACTATTTAAATTAGCTTTGAAAAAACAATAATAAAGATTTAATATGAAAGTTTGGTTTTTTTAATTCTACGAATATGAAAACCATTCTTTCAATCCATTTAAAGAATATAAAACGTTTGGTTAAATTTGAAAAATTCTTGTTAACAATTTGAATACTCTTCAAAACAAATGATATTTTATTTCTAAATAAAGATTTTTTTTAATGAAAAACAATAATATATAATTATTATCTTAACTCGACAATAATAACATAAAATAATTTCATTATAAAACTATAGAAAGATTTTTAACAAAAAAACATCAACAAAGGGTTAACTCAATTAAATTAAAATAAATAAATTGAATAAAATCTTATTTCTATCAATATTAGTCTAACCATTGAAATGATTTATTATATTAATATAAGATTTCATTTATTTATTTAAGAGTTTGATTTAGTTCAATAAATATCTTCCGTTCGTGTAATATATGTTAAATCAATCGAGTTATTTCGATTTCTATTGAAAATAATTCTTTGAATATATTATATCTTTCGAATATAATTTATCAGTTTTTATTTCCCCTCATTTCAATATTAAAAAACTATTTTATTAAATCGAAATAAACCAAACATAAATAAAGATAATAAATGAGATTTATTTTTATTTTTGAATCTCTAATATAAATAAATCTATTAATATTATAATATAATCATATTCAATAGAATTACAATTATAATAACAAAAACAAGAGAAACATCTTATTATATAAATCAATTATTTAAAATGTTAATTAAAATAAATAAATATATATATTGAAAAA